ACACCTACAGTAAATAATATCACTTGTGTGGCATGAGGAGGACAGTAAAGGTTGTTGCAGCAATGCTCCCTTGGGAATTACACCCAAGGTAATTATTGAGAATGCTTTAAGGTAATGAGGACAAACAGGTTTGAATGAATCCACTGGGTCAGAGACATGTTGCCATAAAAAGATGGAATTTATTTAATAAAAATGAACCAATATGCAACTTCAAGCTATAGTGTCATGAACACCAGGATTAAATAAAGACCTAATCAGTGATAAACTAATAATAACTAGCACTCAGGCAGGGGAATTTAGGAGAGTGAGGACAGGGCTGGGGCTAGACTCACAAGTCAGTCTTTAGACGCTTTGCTTAACTAAAGACTGATGACTTTCTCCCTGATTTTGTGTTTAGATGGGCGGATACAATTTCAGCGTTTAAAAAAACTTCCTACATTGCAGAACCAATAGTAAATCTGCAGGGCGGTCCTTCGGTGGCTCGCTGAACTCTAGCGTTTGTGTTGCTATGTGTGGTATTTATTCAGTTTTGGGAAATCACGATGTCTAGAAAGCATCAGTGGCTGCAGCTGACAGGGACAGCTAACAGCAGCAGCAAAGCTAACATCAGGACGTCATCTGTTAAAAGCCTCCCGTTGTCGGATACGACATGAAACTACTCCAGTTAGCTCAATAATGTTGTAACTAAGACATTCGCTGGAAAAAATATTTTCTTTACGGATGAGCACACATTTGATAAAACGGAGTTAAATCTCTCGGCATCCATTTTTAAGCTCTCTGTGTGTTTATTTCCTTGCGGACGAGAAAAGGGGGAGCGCACATTTCCGAGAAGGCGTGTCCTTTTCAAAAATGCAAGAGGCATTGCTTTGTTGCTGGCCGTTTTCGCCGGTGTGTTAAACACACTTTAGAAAGGAGTGTCCCCAAACTATCAGAAGGCGGAGATCTCTGATTGTCTGGTGGCGAGACTAGGCTGGGGCTAACCACGACAGCAGGGAATCAAAAAGGGGAGAGGGGTTCACAAACTAACCACCTGTGACACTGCACACCAATGAAAAAGGAATTGTGAGAAACACCACCAGGGGACTGGACTGCTGCCCTGCACCCACAGCACCTGTCAAAAAAGGGAAAGAGGGTGATTAAAACACTGTCATGAGGTGCTAAAGATAATCCTGTTCTGTTTTGCCTCCTGTCAGGTCCTGGCAGGTCACACCTACATGTGAGGAATAAGTGGTGCGGGTCGTATTAGTCATTCGTAATGGTCGCGCGTCATGACAGCTGTTGGAGAACCTCGCCAGTGCGAGACAGTCTGAAAAATTTCACTTTTTCTCAGCTGTATTTTTAACTGACAGTTGTAATGAGTGGTGGAGCGGGCAGAATTTATCTATATGCAAACTGACTGAAGAGTGTTTCTGCATCAGTCTGTCTCACTGTGAGAGAGTAAAAAAAAGCTCATGCATGTGTGCGCCCAGCTCCACAATGACTGATAAATGTAATCAAGCGTGCGTGAGGCTTTATGAGTCCATTAAGTCTATAACATACGGGCGTTAAGGGACCTTCACATAACTAAACAGTCCGTCAGTCAGCGGGTCAGTCAGTACGTTTACATGCACAGTTTAATTCCACTTTTAATTGGAATGAAAGGCCATTCCGATTAAAAGTGGTCATGTAAACGGTCATTCCGATTGAAAATTAAATCCGATTAAAGGGGGTGGTTTATTCCGTTCGTCATTCCGAATGAAAGAATTTTGTGTGCATGTATACACTCATTCCTCTTTAAATTCATTCCGGTCTTTCTGCGCATGCTCGTTTCCTTGCCCTTCTGGCGCGATGACGTAATAGCGCGCATAGCAACGGGCTGCATAGCAACGGGCTGAGATAGAGCAGTCGGACTTGTTGCACTCACCGGTTTCCATTCGCCACAGCACGGTCTTCTATCTCCCTTCTTCGACCTTCTACCTCCCTTCTCCTCCTCAACAGATGAAGCATTAGCAGAACAAGGTTGTTGTCGTACTGCTGTTTCAAGAATATAAGCAAAACACGCCCGAAAAAGGCACTAAGAACGGCGTCGTCAAGCATCTTGTTATCCGGAGCGAGGACTACAGTGTTTTATTCAAGTAAACGTGAACACGTAACATCCGCCCCGCCCCCTATCCAATCAGAAACGTTCCCTGGCCCAAACCTTGCCCAGACCTGAATAAAGGCGATTGAACTCATCTCCCGTGTAAACCCTCATTCAGAATGAATATTTCCCATGTAAACTACCTGCAAAGACTTTAATTCCGAATGATTTCATTCAGATTTATTTCATTCCGAATGAGAAGCCATCATGTAACCGTAGCCAGTGAGTGCGCTAACGGGAGTCCTGAGCATTTGAGTCTCCGTAACCATGGCAACGATGACACAGATTGACAGACCTGTCATTCTGTGACATTCTCCTCTGCAAATTCTGATTATTTTTCAGCTATGTCACGTGAAACTCTTTGAGTTAAATATTCCTCATGTCATTCCAAGCATGTAAAAACAGTTTATGCAGTAGAGCAGGGTGTGCACAGACATGAGGGACAAATTACGTCCGGTATTGATTCAGTATGGGACAGTAGCCTAGGCTACATTTTACTTTTCAATACGGAACGGTCCCGTATTTTACGGGACGAGTGGCAACCCTGGAGCCCCACAGAGGTCAGGAGGTTGAGAGCCGCAAAGGTTGGCGGCTCAATCACACTGCAGCAGAACGCATAACAATAATCAACTGGGAGCTGTGTGACACACAAGACAGGGAATGGTAGAAAACGCCGACCTACCACGTGGACCGAACCACACCCTAGGAGCTCCGACCGGGGCGATCCGTCTCCCCCAGCACCAACCAGTCACAGCCACACTACAACGAATACAGACCGGTCTCACCAATACGCACAGTGCGCACACAAATAAGGAGAACGAGGCAAAGCGCAATACCTGTATGGGTGAGGAGAGAGCCGAAGGTGTGCCACAATGGTGACCATGCCAAACAAAGCTTCTGCCCGCAGCGCTGCAGCCACCACCACAGGGACATCAGATGAAAAGGAAAGACAGGGGGAGAGGTGTGGCCACCCACCTGCATATTGGGCTACAGGTACGCACGGCGCCGCCCAGCAATTAGTTGTGGCCGTAAGCCTGGCACACTGCCATGCAGTGGCAGGGAGGGAGATGACCTCTGGCTATATTAGAGGGCATTCACACCTACCTCGTTTGGTCCGGACTTTCGGACTTTCCAGATAGTTCGGATCAAATTGACAGGTGTGAAAGCTCCCCCGGACCACGGTCCGGACTAAAGACCGAGTCTTTGGTCCAGCCTCAGGAGGTGGTCTCGGTCCGGACCATCCTGGACCAAGGTCCGCTACTGCGTAGTGTGAAAGCATGTTTTTGGAAGGTGGGACAGCAGTCCCACCCTCCACACCCACCTACATGACAGCAGTCCCACCCTCCACACCCACCTACCCGGGCCCACACTCCAAACCTTTTGGAGCAGAGGAGAGACCTGCTATATGGAGATGGAGAGAGTGAGGATAGGTACACTACACTATAGTATGGTGATCACATTTTGTCAAGTCAGGAGCAGAAAATTTTATTTTCAAAGATGGTCACAGGAGGGCTGTTCTGTTGTTGTGAGCTCTGAGCCGTTCTGGCTCCACTTCTCCTGCCTCTGAGAGCAATTTATTTAATTGAAGTTATTGTAATTAAAGACTCATTTTTAATGTAATATTTATTTTTATATGACCAAATCTGTTGAAGTTTCATACTACATCCTGATTTTTCTAAATAAATTTTGATGACATGTTTGCACATTATGTTGTTTCTGTCCTTCAATCAAACGTACTGAAATGGCAGGTGCGTGACCAACAACACAAGATAAACAATTGCTATGGTAAACAAAAATATTTATTCCTGAGGGCTGTCTCTCATAGCACAATATGACACTTGTGTAATTCTGAACACAGAAATATCAAACAACATAAACACGCTCAAACTGTGAATTATGCTCAAACTAGAGAGTAGAAAAATAAGTACACAAGGCATCCCTGATGTTATTCCCACTGTCACCACCAATGTAATGGTCAGCAGGGTCTGGTCTCCCATCATGTTCATCATCTTCATCATCACTGATGTACTCTTCGTTGTGACTCTCACAAAAATTGTGGAGGACACAGCAGGCGAAGATGACGTCAGTGATGAAACTGACCTCAAAGTCTGATCGCCTCAATAGGCACCTCCATCTTCCCTTCAATCGTCCAAAAGCCCTCTCCACTGTCATTCTGGTTTGACTCAGGCAGGTGTTAAAAGCCGCTTGTGCCTGTGTTGTCCCTCTGCCCTCTGGGTATGGCTTCATTAGCCATGGCAGCAGTGGATATGCGGCATCTCCTAGGATAACTAGAGGGACATCCACATCCTGTATGGTTTCACTCCTTCCTGGCAGTAGTGTTCCATTCTGTCCTCGTTGGTAAAGGGACGAGTTTGAGAACACACGGGCATCGTGAACCCTCCCCGGCCAGCCAATGTTTACATCCCAAAATTTCATGTTGTGATCAACAACACCTTGGAGGATAACAGAATAGACCCCCTTACGGTTGTAATAATCTGCTGAGTTGTTAGGTGGTGCCAGGATGGGAATATGAGTTCCATCCACAGCTCCAGCACACTGTGGAAACTTCCATCTCTCACGGAATCCTCTGACGATTCCTTCAAGTTCAGCAGCTGAAGGTGTGTGGAGGTATTGTGGGGCCAGGATTTCATTTATGGCACTGACAACTTCTTGTGTGAAGGAACAGGCACTTGACAATCCCACACCAAAGAGGTGAGAGAGAGATCTGAGCTCGAGATTGGTTGCGAGCCTCCACAAGCAGATTGCCACACGCAACTCCACTGATACCGCTTTGCGAAATCTGGTATCCTGCCTGGTTAGCTGTCCTCGAAGAATGTTACACAGTACATTGAAGGTAGCTCTTGTCATTCTGAAGTTCCGCTGCCAATCAGTTTCTGTCCAGCTGTCACACACTTGCTGCCACCATTCATGACACCGTGGTTTGACCCAAATGTTCCTGTAGAAGGGGGGANACTAAGACATTCGCTGGAAAAAATATTTTCTTTACGGATGAGCACACATTTGATAAAACGGAGTTAAATCTCTCGGCATCCATTTTTAAGCTCTCTGTGTGTTTATTTCCTTGCGGACGAGAAAAGGGGGAGCGCACATTTCCGAGAAGGCGTGTCCTTTTCAAAAATGCAAGAGGCATTGCTTTGTTGCTGGCCGTTTTCGCCGGTGTGTTAAACACACTTTAGAAAGGAGTGTCCCCAAACTATCAGAAGGCGGAGATCTCTGATTGTCTGGTGGCGAGACTAGGCTGGGGCTAACCACGACAGCAGGGAATCAAAAAGGGGAGAGGGGTTCACAAACTAACCACCTGTGACACTGCACACCAATGAAAAAGGAATTGTGAGAAACACCACCAGGGGACTGGACTGCTGCCCTGCACCCACAGCACCTGTCAAAAAAGGGAAAGAGGGTGATTAAAACACTGTCATGAGGTGCTAAAGATAATCCTGTTCTGTTTTGCCTCCTGTCAGGTCCTGGCAGGTCACACCTACATGTGAGGAATAAGTGGTGCGGGTCGTATTAGTCATTCGTAATGGTCGCGCGTCATGACAGCTGTTGGAGAACCTCGCCAGTGCGAGACAGTCTGAAAAATTTCACTTTTTCTCAGCTGTATTTTTAACTGACAGTTGTAATGAGTGGTGGAGCGGGCAGAATTTATCTATATGCAAACTGACTGAAGAGTGTTTCTGCATCAGTCTGTCTCACTGTGAGAGAGTAAAAAAAAGCTCATGCATGTGTGCGCCCAGCTCCACAATGACTGATAAATGTAATCAAGCGTGCGTGAGGCTTTATGAGTCCATTAAGTCTATAACATACGGGCGTTAAGGGACCTTCACATAACTAAACAGTCCGTCAGTCAGCGGGTCAGTCAGTACGTTTACATGCACAGTTTAATTCCACTTTTAATTGGAATGAAAGGCCATTCCGATTAAAAGTGGTCATGTAAACGGTCATTCCGATTGAAAATTAAATCCGATTAAAGGGGGTGGTTTATTCCGTTCGTCATTCCGAATGAAAGAATTTTGTGTGCATGTATACACTCATTCCTCTTTAAATTCATTCCGGTCTTTCTGCGCATGCTCGTTTCCTTGCCCTTCTGGCGCGATGACGTAATAGCGCGCATAGCAACGGGCTGCATAGCAACGGGCTGAGATAGAGCAGTCGGACTTGTTGCACTCACCGGTTTCCATTCGCCACAGCACGGTCTTCTATCTCCCTTCTTCGACCTTCTACCTCCCTTCTCCTCCTCAACAGAAGAAGCATTAGCAGAACAAGGTAGTTATCGTACTGCTGATTCAAGAATATAAAAAAAACAAGCCAGAAAAAAGCACTAAGAACGGCATCGTCAAGCATCTTGTTATCCGGAGCGAGGACTACAGTGTTTTATTCAAGTAAACGTGAACACGTAACATCCGCCCCGCCCCCTATCCAATCAGAAACGTTCCCTGGCCCAAACCTTGCCCAGACCTGAATAAAGGCGATTGAACTCATCTCCCGTGTAAACCCTCATTCAGAATGAATATTTCCCATGTAAACTACCTGCAAAGACTTTAATTCCGAATGATTTCATTCAGATTTATTTCATTCCGAATGAGAAGCCATCATGTAACCGTAGCCAGTGAGTGCGCTAACGGGAGTCCTGAGCATTTGAGTCTCCGTAACCATGGCAACGATGACACAGATTGACAGACCTGTCATTCTGTGACATTCTCCTCTGCAAATTCTGATTATTTTTCAGCTATGTCACGTGAAACTCTTTGAGTTAAATATTCCTCATGTCATTCCAAGCATGTAAAAACAGTTTATGCAGTAGAGCAGGGTGTGCACAGACATGAGGGACAAATTACGTCCGGTATTGATTCAGTATGGGACAGTAGCCTAGGCTACATTTTACTTTTCAATACGGAACGGTCCCGTATTTTACGGGACGAGTGGCAACCCTGGAGCCCCACAGAGGTCAGGAGGTTGAGAGCCGCAAAGGTTGGCGGCTCAATCACACTGCAGCAGAACGCATAACAATAATCAACTGGGAGCTGTGTGACACACAAGACAGGGAATGGTAGAAAACGCCGACCTACCACGTGGACCGAACCACACCCTAGGAGCTCCGACCGGGGCGATCCGTCTCCCCCAGCACCAACCAGTCACAGCCACACTACAACGAATACAGACCGGTCTCACCAATACGCACAGTGCGCACACAAATAAGGAGAACGAGGCAAAGCGCAATACCTGTATGGGTGAGGAGAGAGCCGAAGGTGTGCCACAATGGTGACCATGCCAAACAAAGCTTCTGCCCGCAGCGCTGCAGCCACCACCACAGGGACATCAGATGAAAAGGAAAGACAGGGGGAGAGGTGTGGCCACCCACCTGCATATTGGGCTACAGGTACGCACGGCGCCGCCCAGCAATTAGTTGTGGCCGTAAGCCTGGCACACTGCCATGCAGTGGCAGGGAGGGAGATGACCTCTGGCTATATTAGAGGGCATTCACACCTACCTCGTTTGGTCCGGACTTTCGGACTTTCCAGATAGTTCGGATCAAATTGACAGGTGTGAAAGCTCCCCCGGACCACGGTCCGGACTAAAGACCGAGTCTTTGGTCCAGCCTCAGGAGGTGGTCTCGGTCCGGACCATCCTGGACCAAGGTCCGCTACTGCGTAGTGTGAAAGCATGTTTTTGGAAGGTGGGACAGCAGTCCCACCCTCCACACCCACCTACATGACAGCAGTCCCACCCTCCACACCCACCTACCCGGGCCCACACTCCAAACCTTTTGGAGCAGAGGAGAGACCTGCTATATGGAGATGGAGAGAGTGAGGATAGGTACACTACACTATAGTATGGTGATCACATTTTGTCAAGTCAGGAGCAGAAAATTTTATTTTCAAAGATGGTCACAGGAGGGCTGTTCTGTTGTTGTGAGCTCTGAGCCGTTCTGGCTCCACTTCTCCTGCCTCTGAGAGCAATTTATTTAATTGAAGTTATTGTAATTAAAGACTCATTTTTAATGTAATATTTATTTTTATATGACCAAATCTGTTGAAGTTTCATACTACATCCTGATTTTTCTAAATAAATTTTGATGACATGTTTGCACATTATGTTGTTTCTGTCCTTCAATCAAACGTACTGAAATGGCAGGTGCGTGACCAACAACACAAGATAAACAATTGCTATGGTAAACAAAAATATTTATTCCTGAGGGCTGTCTCTCATAGCACAATATGACACTTGTGTAATTCTGAACACAGNATAAGACACACACACTCCTCACCTACCCGGGTAGTAGTTATAGAAATTGAGGACAAAAGAAACTGAATGGACACTGATACACAGAACACACGTACACACACATTGGATCCTTTTTCTTGAGCTGCCCTTACCAGAACCGTCGAGCAGGAGAGCTCGAATTCTATGGACTCTTCTTTTTGTTTTCTTTTATTTTACGGCACCTTATTTTGGTAAATAAATGCACAGCCAAGCTGTTGATGTTTATCATTTGTTTTGCATTGATATTAAAATATCACCTGTTCAAATGCCAACACCCGCTCCCTTGTGTGAGTCACTTCCTGGTGCAACTCCTACTGGACCTAGAGCGATGTGAGTATCCATTAAACCTAAAAGTCAAGACTAAAGGTGCTACATTAATCTTAACCACCTCTCTTTAAATGTAATACTTTATAGCTAGCTAATCACTAATATAGCAATTCATGTCATGGCAATTTGAGTCATGTAGTTAGACAGTGGGTCACGGAGCTGCTCCAGCTGCAGTTAAACCAACTGGTAAAATACAGGCAATGTGACATAATGGTCACATGAGGCACTATGTCACAGTTTGGTTTAAAATCCAGCAAAGACATTGACAGATGCCATCTTCCCCAGAGCTGGAACACCATTATCAAGTAAGTAGAACCTTTCACTAAATGAGAGAGGAGACATGCACACTGGCATGGCTTTTTGGAAGAACAGCATTGTGCAAAGCAGCTTGACCCTATATGTTTTTGGTACCTGATCAATAATCCAGTAAATCCACTGTAGATACATTATGCTTGAAGTTAATAATGATGACAGCAAGTGCATTGCTGCTGAAAAGATATCAGGAGTGTGTAGCCTCAGGACTTAAACTTGCATGTTGTTAAATGTTACTGCTATTGGTGTAAGAGAACAAAAGAACAGATGGAAAAGCTGCCATGGTGTGTTCAGAGTTTAAGCCATGTTGTACTGTGTGGCTGGACTGAAGAAACCTGTAACTTTGATGCTGTAAGACTAACGACTGGTTAATTGCAGAATATGTAAAAATTACTCCAAATATTCCAAGCATGTTTTAAGAATCCACAGTGGCATGTTCACACTGGAAATGTACTACTCAAATACTCAAAACAGTCAGTATGCCAACTCCACCAAAAAAAAAAAACGCTGAATGCCGAGGGTGCTCCCCAAGTCTGTTATTTGATATTTTCTTGCTCCTCAATCTTCACTTGAACCAGAAGTCGTTCTGGTGCGCCATCTTGAAGGTTGTCTCAAATCACGTATTTCTGCTCTCAGGAGTAATGACCTATGATAGATGAAAGCAGCCTTCACAAAAGTCTCACACTGACCAACTTAACCTCAGTTTTAACAGGAAAGGAGGACTCCTCATTTCTGTAAAAGCACATTTACACATGTATTCTCTCCTTGCATGGTTTCCTTGCATCTCTCCATGCATACCTGGTGGGAAGGAATAAAACCCAAGGAGAACTTGGAATGCATCGTGAGTGTGCTGTTGCGCACTTATGTCTCACAATGCAATGTAACAATTAAATAAAAACAAACAAACTTACAATTGCATAAACTTTAAATATGTTGCAAATGAATCTAACCCTAACCCCAAGACAGCTGTCATTTGTCTAGTAAAGCAACAATTGCCTTTGTTTCTGTCTGTGGAAACAGTAGTTTGAGGGGAAAAAAAATCATATTCCAAGGACCACAATACTTGAAAGAAGAAAGAATACTCAGGTTAAAGTAAAATAAATTATTTTTAAAAAATACTTAAACATATTTTTGCTATAATAATGAGAGTAAATACAATTCGTTACTTCTCTCTTTCCAAATTAGGGTATAGAATACTCTTTTATTAGGGCTGTTGGCATTAACGCCTAAACATGTGATCGCTAAAAACATGGTTAACGTGTTAAATGTTTTCAATCGCGTTAATCATACAATGCCTTATTCACCACTGCCTGTCTTGCAGAGGCTATAGATGTTTGAGTTTTAAAGCTAGAGTGATGATACTGGTATCATTTGAAACCAGGAGACCTAAGGGACAATATCCTGCTAACCTGTCAGGAGGGGTGTTAAATATCACTCCAAAGTCAGGCTAAATTTTGGCTTGGGCAAAACAGCATGGCATTTCACAGAGGTCCTGTGACCTTTCACCTCAAGATATCTCAATGAAAATGGGTTCTGTAGGTACTTACAAGTCTCACCTTTACAGATAGGTCCCACACAGTTTTGGGCTCAAATTATGCACTTTTTTTGCATGCAATGTTTATTACAGATTTATTCATTCATTCATTCAACCTTTATTTAAACCCGGAAATACATTGAGGTAGGGACCTCATTTACAATGTAGCCGAGTAAAACAATAAACAGATAAAAGCACTTAGACACAGAAACAACCAAAGAGAAACTTACATAAGAGTGGCAACAAGAATAAAAAACACAATAAAACTGAAAAAAAAAAAAAAAAAAAAAAAAAAAAAAAAAAAAAAAAAAAAAAAAAAAAAAAAAAAAAAAAAAAAAAAAAAAAAAAAAAAAAAAAAAAAATAACAGCACCAATAATGAATAAAATACTTAAAATGTAACCCACCATAATCAGGTTAGACAGGAACATCTAGAAGTAAAATGTGATACAGTTAAAGATTTAAATTGCCCAATGGATAAAAATGATGAAAGTTTTAAATGGTTCTGCAAGTTGTTCCACGTTGCAGGTGCACAATACGAAAAACTGGATTTTGCAAGTTCACTAAAAACAGTTGGTACCTGCAGTGTAATCCAATCACTGGATCGAGTCTGATAAGAACCCACATTAAAAGAAAGCATGGCACTGATATAATTAGGTAAAAGACCAATAAGAGCTTTATAAATAAATAAAACCCAATGTCTTTCACGTCTTACTGCAAGGGAGGGCCACCCAACCTTGGAATATAATTCACAATGATGGGTGTTATAGCAGTCACCAGTGATGAACCTTAATGCAGAGTGGTAAATAGAGTCCAGAGGCTTAAGAGTCGTAGCAGAGGCGTGCATGTACAAAATATCACCATAGTCCAACACTGATAAAAAAGTTGCCTCAACAAGCATTCTTCTACAATGCGGTGGAAAGGAGAGTCTGTTTCTATAAAAGAAACCAACTTTAATTCGTAAAGAAGTCACCAGCTTAGAAACATGATGTTTAAAAGTTAATTTATCATCTAACCAAATACCAAGGTACTTATACTCAGTGACCCTTTCAATATTTGTACCATTGTTGGTTGAAATGATGAGGTTGTCATGGATACAATTTTTTGACCTGGTGAACAACATGAATTTAGTTTTGTCAGCATTGAGAACCAGTTTATGATTATTGAGTGCAACTTGGAGGTCAGAAAAGCAGTGTTGGAGGGAAGTTATGGCTGTGTGTGCATCATTGGCAATACAATACAAAACGGTGTCATCTGCATAAAGATGAATATTACACCCAGTGACAGCTGAGGTAATATCGATGTAAAGCGAGAACAGAACAGGCCCCAGGATTGAGCCTTGCGGGACACCTTTTGCTATTTGGACATAGTCAGATTTAACATTACCAATAGAGACACACTGCTCCCTGTCGCTGAGGTAACTGAAACCAATTTAGAGCTAATTCATCAAATCCAATAGTATTAAGTCTTTTTAGGAGCAATGTATGATCTACGGTATCAAAGGCTTTTGAGAGGTCAATAAAGAGAGCTGCACAATGTTTTTTCTTATCCAAAGCGGTTATGATGTCATTTACAACAAGAGTGGCCGCAGCAATGGTGCTATGTCTTTCCCTAAAACCAGATTGATGCATGCTGAGAATACAATGTGTTGAAAGGAATGATCTTAGCTGATTATTAACGAGAGATTCCAATACTTTTGCTAGGCATGATAATTTAGAAATAGGTCGGTAATTATTAAGGTTGGCTGTTCCACCGCCTTTATGCAAAGGAGTTACCCAAGCGGCTTTCCAAACCTTAGGGACCGTGCCATACGAAACCGAAAGGTTAAAAATATGTGTAATGTAGCTGACCACAATTTGTGCAGCAAGCTTTAAAGAGTAGGGGTCAAGTTTGTCCTCTCCCACAGAAACTTTAGAATCTATAGACAGGAGTGCGTTGGCCACTTCATCAATAGAGAAGGGCTGCAATGAAAAACATGGAGTTGACATACTATGGGTGATGGGGTCAGTAGCAGGCAGTGGTGGTCCTGTATATGTCTCATTAAACAGATTACCAGCAGATGCAAAATGCTCGTTAAAAGCTACACAAATCTCCTTATTGTCCGATAAAGAGCGCCCATTTTCTGTTGTGAGAAGAGGAAAAGAGATGGAGGACTTGCGGTTGAGAGAATTTACTGCCTTCCAGAAATTAGAAGGATTTGAATATGATTTAGGAATTAGATTTAAACAATAATCAGATTTAGCCTTCCTTATCACAGATGTACATTTGTTTCTAAGTTGTCTGAAAATCAGTAAGTCACCAGGGTCCCCAGTACGTCTGGCCAGAGTCCAGGCTGTATTTCTCTCTTTAATCAAGGAAGAAATTTCTGATGAAAACCAGGGACTTGACCTATTTTGTATTCTATGATTTTTAAAAGGTGCATGTTTATTAACAATTAAGTTGAATGATTTACAAAAATGGTCAAGAGCTAGTTCAGCATCTGAGAATTTAGCAGTGTCATGGACATCACTTGCCAGAAGGTCGTTCAAAAAAGTTTGTTCATAAAAATGTTTAAAATTCCTTCTGGATACCATACAGGGACATTGTTTTCTTAATCTGGTGCTTCTGATGCAAGCTACTGGACAGTGATAGCTAAAACCAAGTTCAAATACTCCTGAGTCAGAAATATTTTCTTTTCTGTTCGATAAGATTAAGTCAAGAAGAGATGACTTAGAGGGGTCCTTCAAGTTTGGCCTAGTAGGGGCAGTAATTATCTGAGAAAGATTAAAATTACCACAAACCTCTTTTAAAAACTGGGAGACTGAACTCAACCAGTTTAAGTTAAAATCACCTACAACAATCAATTCAGAATCTGTAAAAGGAGTTAAAAGATCAGCTATCTCATTAATAGCACAGGAGGGAGCAGCAGGTGGTCTGTAAATTCCAACCACAGTAATAGAATTATTTTGTGCAATAGCCACTTTCACTGCCAAGAACTCAAAGGATTTGTCAACTGAGACTGCTTTCAGAACAGTACAACCAAGACAATCTCTTGAATAAATAGCCACATCTCCTCCTCTAGTATTTCTGTCTATTCTGAACAGGTTGTAACCATCCAAGGCCACCTCAGAATCACTTACAGTGTGTCTTAACCAAGTTTCAGATAAAACCAGAATATCAGGATCTGTATGTGTCATTAAAATTTTCAGCTGATCCAGCTTCTCATGCTGAGTAATGCTCCTGATATTTAGGTGCATTAAACCCAGGAGTAAGGGTCGCGTGTGGAACAGACTCAGACTTAAGAGAAGCACTGAGGTGAGACTTTAAGGGCTGTGAAGCTGAGGAAGGCCTTGATGTACATACCAGTGGAGGAAAGTGTATTAGACTTGAAACTGCCTGAGCACCAGGGGGAGCTGGTGAGCCCATGACTGACTTGGATGATGACAATGGTGCAGGGAAGAAGTCAGTCAGTAGCTGGTGACCGGAAATGCCCAGCGACGAGCACACCTGGTCATCTGAGCATGTAGCAGACAATCAAACTGCAGGCGCATTTAAAACTGAGTAAAATATATTGTCCGTTAAAATACGTGCACCCAGCCTGCTAGGATTGACACCATCCCTCCAATAAAAGGAAGAACGTTTCCAGAAAAGGTTAAAATTGTCAATAAAAACCATCCTGTGTGCTGCACTGGCAGATTGGAGCCATGAATGGAGGCTGAGGATCCTGCTAAAACGGCCAACGCTATGGCTCAGCGGAGGCAGGGGTCCGGAAATGAAGACACGCTTCCCACAGTCTTTCAACATGTGAAGGAGCCTGCTAAAATCCTGCTTTAAAATTTCAGAAGTCTGCCTGGATACGTCATTGCACCCACCATGGATAACAATGTTCCTGGTGCTGGGATACTTTGCCAGGAGACCGGGGATTTTCGCCTGGATGTCAACCACTTTAGCACCAGGAAAAAAGAATGTCTCCGCCGATCGTCTCCTGACGTGCCTCATAATTGAATCGCCGATGACCAGGGTGGCAGGAGATGCAGCTTGCCGTGGTGGATGAGACCGTACACTCGGAGAAGAGCCCCGCGGCACCAGGGTGAAATTTAGCTGCACACGGCGAGGTGGGGGTCGAGTGGTTCGTCCAGGTATGTTCATCGGGAGGACCGGGAGCGGTGGAGATCCGCTGGACTTATTTAAAATCAAGGGAGGTGAAGGAGAAGGCCGTAGGCTCCCAGCCAGTGGAGGAAATTCGTGTAAATCCAGGATGTCATAGCGGTTGTTTAGCTGGATACCACAGGTTGTGGGAGTACGAAAAGGCAACCTCCCCCTCCTTCTACGGTCGCCAGCAACCTCCCAGGTCTCCCGGTGTGAAGGAGTGGAGCTGACTGGGCCCTTGGGTTTAGCTCCGAGCCGAAGGGTCCTCCGGGAGGGTGGGTGGAGCGAAACCAGCGGCCGGGGCAGTAGCAGCGGGCTGCATAGGGCTGATTACCGGAGCAGCAATAGCAGAGCCCGGAGCAGAGGCGGCAGCTGGTGGAGTGGAACCTGTGGCCGGAGCCACAGTAGCGTGCTGCATGGAGCCGGTCATCGGAGGAGCAGCAGCTGGCACAGCCGAACGTGGAACCGGAGCGGCGGCAGCAGCCAGCGTATAGCCAGTCACCGGAGCTGCAGCAGTTGGAGGAGCGGGGGCATCAGCCGAATAAGGAGCCGTGGCCTCAAGCTCTTCACCAGTGGCAGAGACTTGTGCAGGGCCGAAGAGGATAGTGTCCAGGTGTCTCTCACCTTCCTGGATTTTGTAGAGATTGGAAATCCTCTGTTCCAGCTCAACGATCTTCTTGCCGAGGGAGAGACAGCTCTGACAGCCGGATGGCGAGGTAAGTGGAGCCATGGCTACCCAGCGATGTAGTTCACGATCCTGGTTAGCCTGTTAGCAGTTAGAAATAACAAACAGTGCTGAGCTGCATCTCAAATTAATCTTCAGGTTTCCAGGTCAGGTTTCAGGTGATACATTCCACTTCTATGTAACTTAGACTGTTGACCTGCTTTCTCCCCCAAAAGATTTATTGAAATTTGATCGTTCGACCGCTCTACTCTTTCTACATCATTGTGTGTAAATGTGCACCAGCTTGATTTCCACTTCCAGTTAGCCACAAATGGACATAAACACACCACAAGGCAACAGACTACATGGAGTAGAAATCACAAGCCATCAGGTCAAACTGACTAACAACCTGAAAGAATGTTTGCATGCAATGCATATTTAGCCATTTCTCACCAGTTTATACCTTATAACATCACACCTCACTCACTTTACTAATTTCGCTTAGCTCATGGTGTGAAAGCTGCCTGAGTTGCACCACTTCCTCTTGAGTGTGTAATTTCCTGTTCAAGTTTGACAGATTCAAGTGTATGTCACAAAAACAGCTTCTGCGCTTTCGTCTGTAGCACTTTGTACTTTGAGGCATGGAGAGCGTGGTGGAGATGTTACTGTGGGCCTGGATTATCCTGGACTTGGGAGTGTGCTCAGTCTCACTGCCAGAAATCACTGATGGAAAGTTCATTGATGAGTGTGTGAGGGAACACAACAGGGCGCGGTCGTCTGTCAGTCCCCCTGCAAGTGACATGCTGTACATGGTAGGTATGATGGGCACCTTGGTTTCTCACTGTCTGTCTCACAATCAGAAACAAATGAAGATGTGTAGTGGTAAAATGACCCGCTAACACCACAACCAGTCAAGAAAGTAATGCGAACATCTAATGGGTAAGGATTTAAAACTCTGACGTAAAAAACATCCTTTCTCATGAAGTAATTATTTTGTCAGCCTTCTGTTGGTTTTAGCATGGTACAGTGGTGGCTTGAGACTGGAAGGTTGATGGTTTGTATCCCTGGACCATCTAGGAAATAAATGCTATTGACCTTCATGTAAGGTTTAACTTAAGTGAACACTGATACATGAATTTGCAACACTGATTAAAAGCAAACACATTGCAGAGGGAATGAGGGGCAGAAGAATCTAAAATAGAGGAAGCTTAGCTTATTAGCTCTTTTGTAACATTAAGGCTGGGCTGCACCAGGTTGATTTTAAAACCTGATTAAATCACAGTTTAACTTTAAATCATGTTGCACCAAACTTTAAATCCTAAAATTAAAAAACATTCAATTTTAATCTCTCAGAAGTTATGTTAAAACATTTTTATGTGCACAAATAATTTTTAGAATGGTGTAGAATAAAAGTATTGCTTATATATATGTGTGTGTATATATATATATATATATATATATATATATACATATATATATATACATATACATATATACATATACATACAGTACAGGCCAAAAGTTTGGACACACCTTCTCATTCAATGCGTTTTCTTTATTTTCATGACTATTTACATTGTAGATTCTCACTGAAGGCATCAAAACTATGAATGAACACATGTGGAGTTATGTACTTAACAAAAAAAGGTGAAATAACTGAAAACATGTTTTATATTCTAGTTTCTTCAAAATAGCCACCCTTTGCTCTGATTACTGCTTTGCACACTCTTGGCATTCTCTCCATGAGCTTCAAGAGGTAGTCACCTGAAATGGTTTCCACTTCACAGGTGTGCCTTATCAGGGTTAATTAGTGGAATTTCTTGCTTTATCAATGGGGTTGGGACCATCAGTTGTGTTGTGCAGAAGTCAGGTTAATACACAGCCGACAGCCCTATTGGACAACTGTTAAAATTCATATTATGGCAAGAACCAATCAGCTAACTAAAGAAAAATGAGTGGCCATCATTACTTTAAGAAATGAAGGTCAGTCAGTCCAGAAAATTGCAAAAACTTTAAATGTGTCCCCAAGTGGAGTCGCAAAAACCATCAAGCGCTACAACGAAACTGGCACACATGAGGACTGACCCAGGAAAGGAAGACCAAGAGTCACCTCTGCTTCTGAGGATAAGTTCATCTGAGTCACCAGCCTCAGAAATCGCAAGTTAACAGCAGCTCAGATCAGAGACCAGATGAATGCCACACAGAGTTCTAGCAGCAGACCCATCTCTAGAACAACTGTTAAGAGGAGACTGCGCCAATCAGGCCTTCATGGTCAAATAGCTGCTAGGAAACCACTGCTAAGGAGTGGCAACAAGCAGAAGAGATTTGTTTGGGCCAAGAAACACAAGGAATGGACATTAGACCAGTGGAAATCTGTGCTTTGGTCTGATGAGTCCAAATTTGAGATCTTTGGTTCCAACCGCCGTGTCTTTGTGAGACGCAGAAAAGGTGAACGGATGGATTCCACATGCCTGGTTCCCACTGTGAAGCATGGAGGAGGAGGTGTGATGGTGTGGGGGTGTTTTGCTGGTGACACTGTTGGGGATTTATTCAAAATTGAAGGCACACTGAACCAGCATGGCTACCACAGCATCCTGCAGCGACATGCCATCCCATCCGGTTTGCGTTTAGTTGGACGATCATTTATTTTTCAACAGGACAATGACCCCAAACACACCTCCAGGCTGTGCAAGGGCTATTTGACCAAGAAGGAGAGTGATGGAGTGCTGCGGCAGATGACCTGGCCTCCACAGTCACCGGACCTGAACCCAATCAAGATGGTTTGGGGTGAGCTGGACCGCAGAGTGAAGGCAAAGGGGCCAACAAGTGCTAAACACCTCTGGGAACTCCTTCAAGACTGTTGGAAAACCATTTCAGGTGACTACCTCTTGAAGCTCATGGAGAGAATGCCAAGAGTGTGCAAAGCAGTAATCAGAGCAAAGGGTGGCTATTTTGAAGAAACTAGAATATAAAACATGTTTTCAGTTATTTCACCTTTTTTTGTTAAGTACATAACTCCACATGTGTTCATTCATAGTTTTGATGCCTTCAGTGAGAATCTACAATGTAAATAGTCATGAAAATAAAGAAAACGCATTGAATGAGAAGGTGTGTCCAAACGTTTGGCCTGTACTGTACATCTATGTACAGTGGCCTTGAGTGTCTTGAAAGGTGCTGATAAATAAAATGTATTATCATTATTATTATTATGATGGCATAGATATAGTCAATAGATGGCACTAGAGGGCAGAGTCAAAAGTTTCACACAACAACAAAATGAGGCAACCATGGAGGAGGTCGTTATATTGTACCTTTAAACAGAGGCAGTGTTGTCGACGGCGGTGGTTTGTGTGGTCGCTATACATTCCAACATGTGAACGGAGAATTCTTTTCACCATGCTATCGATTTGTCCCATTCCACCATTATTTAAATTTCTTTGTCATCTACAAATGTTGTAGTATATCGCTTGAACTATGCTACACTGCCTCCATGATGTCTGGTGGTACTGCTCAGTTTCGTCCATATCCCTGAGCTTTCAGGAAACGTGCACAAATACAGACAAAATGAACACAGAGTATGGACGGAAGGCTCCGTCAGTCTCCGTCTCTGATGTGAACATAAATGGGCCTTTAGTAATAGCCAGTTCAGGCAGGGAGCGAACGGTCAGTCCCACGTTTGCCTATAGCGCATGCTAACACAACAGCAGCAGCTAACGTCTGACATTGAGCCATTAAATGGCCCCCAAAAAAATTCATGCCAACACTTCAAAGGCAGTAAAGGCCTTAAACCTGCCAATAACTGCTTGCTAATGTTAGCTGTGTGATGCTAACGTGATGTGATTTTAGCCCTGTAAGTGCAGGCAGATTCTGTACCAACTCTCACAGCAGTGGTGGAGGCAGAAGGACTGTTGGGTCTCATGATAGACAGAGAGAGAGGAAGTATGGCAAGTCAAGAGAATAACATTAAAATGGGCTCTAAACCAGGGTTGAAAAAAGAAAAGGGTTGTAGCCTATTGATGTAAAATAGCATTTTCTTTCTTTGCTTGTAGTTTAAATCAGTGGCTTCTATCCCTTCCAAATGAGACATAAACTTTATCAAATTAGGGTTAAACTTTTGTCACAACACCTAAAGAAAGCTAGTCATATCCTAGGGTCAGGCCTACCATAACATTTAGTTTAATGAATGAATCTTGAAACACGACTACCTCACAAAGTAACCTAAATCTATAGTTAATGTATAGCTACTGAATAAAATCTGACCAATTCTAAGAACAAAAGAATAGGAGGCCTAAATAGCACAGTACAGAGAAGATACAAAAGGTCTCTTGAGAGCTACTCACTGACAGGTGCTAGCATGTTCCCAGCTTCTTAGCGTGTTAGCTGTTAGCTCGGCAGCTACAGCAGTTCACCAATTTGCCTTATGAGTCGTCTCTCTTTCAAAAAGACGTGAAGTGAGTTTTGCTGTGCCATTTTTTTTGGTGTGACCAGGTAGAGCTGGGCTGTATGAAGAAAATGAAATATCACAATATTTTTGACCAAATACCTCAATATTGATATTGCGACAATATTATAATGTTGACTGCATTCACAAAATATTAACACAATGAATTCTTTAATAAATTATCATCAGTAATGTGGATATAATGACTAAGGGCAAATAACACAACGGCTCGAACAGCTGGTAAGTTCGGAAAATCACATCACTTTACTGTAATGGAGCCTTTAAAACCAAGAAAAAATCCCAAATCTTAGATGACATCTAGTCTCATAACACAATATCAATATATGAATAGCCTGCTGCCCTGCTCTGTGACCAGGCCACACTGAAGGTGAATAGATTTTTGTTTAAAAAAATGCAATACCAACTTGTTCAGCTTTTGAGGTCTGTGGATTATCCACAGTAACCAAGACATAGGTTTGGGAAATACACACTGCTGTTCAACTTCATGTATTTTTCTCAATTCCATTGTCCTCCATTATAGGCTACTGGTGACATTTTCAAAACCTAGACAAATGCCACAATTTTTGGATGAACCAACCTTTAAGAACCTAATTTAAAAAGGTAAGTCATTATAAAGGACTGCTGTTTGATATTCTTTATCTCTATTCATTCAGACATGGGATGAGGGCTTGGCCATCACTGCAAGAGCATGGGCAAGACACTGTGTGTTTGAACATAATGGATACCTCAAAGATGTCCGCCGCGTGCACCCTACTTTCTCCTCTGTAGGAGAAAACATATGGACTAGCAGCTCACCCCATTTTGATGTGTCGAGGGCCATAAAAGGGTGGGTGGATGAAAAACAAGACTATGACTACAACCGCAACATCTGCACAAACATCTGTGGCCACTACACACAGGTGTGTGCACTTTTGTTTTAAAACATACTGATAACATGCAGAAAGAGGAACTGCTCATGACGTTTTCTATTTGGTTTGTGTTGCACAGTTTAACCCTTAGGTTTTTTCAGGTTGTGTGGGCAAGCAGCTTCAAGGTTGGTTGTGCCGTCCAACTGTGCACGAATGGAGTCAAATACACCAGCTTTGCTGACAAAGAGGGTGTCCTTTTTGTATGCAACTATGCTACAGCGTAAGTTGAACAATGTACAAGTAAATTACAACTCTGATTTATAAGAGAGATTTATCTGAGTCCAGGGCTTATGGGGTTAAAAAATGTTAATGGTGATATCTTTGCACACTCTACTTGTTCACATTTCTCTGCTGTGGTGAGGCATGGTTTCAGCCCTGGTGTCATGTAAAGGAAGTGGTATTCACATCAATCACTTTGCAAGTTTCAGTAGAATAGAGGCAGTTTTATACTTGCACGTCAGCTCTCTGTAGAGCCTACGCCCTAGCCTACACACGTGGCCTATGCAGCTGTGAGCATTTTTGTGTGGTGATGTGTCTGTGTCCCTCTGCAGTTACACCTCCAAAACACTAGTCGACAGTGGGGTTTCTGTGAAGTGCTGTCAAGTTGAGCTGATTCAAACAAGACCCAAAACACACATTAAACATGGCTTAATAGAGACAATTTCAAAGACAAGCACACAAATCAGCTTCACTGTAACTTGCAGCATTCACACACAAAGCACTTGTATTTTGCTGGACACATTTTCCCCACAAAAACCAACACACTAATGTTATTAGCACAAGCCTATAGCATTTTACATTGTAGATAGTAGCTAAGCAGCTAGCGGACATTTCGTCTACTCATATGAAGCCATGGACAGCAGCAATATTTAACAAAGGTAACATTTAAAAATTCAGCTTCATTACTACTCGAAGGGTTCACCGATAAAACAACTGTCTGATACTAAACACATTTTCTAAAAAAAAAAAATACAACATGCTACTGTTATTAGCACAAGTCTATGGCATTTTACATTGTATAAATTAGCCAAGCAACTATCAGAGATTTCCTTTATGCATATGAAGCCAGGATAAATCACACACAAGACTTAAAATGCTTTTTTGTGGAGGCTTTATTGTCTTCACAAAGTTTCATATCTGTGAAATAAAAATCAATAAAAGCTTTGTTTCCACTAAGGGAAATGGTTTTCAGCTTAAAAAAAATTATCAGGAGGTCTGTGTCGCTGCGATGTGTAGTTACATTTCTGGGGAGGTGCACGTCAGGCTACAGCGTGGGGTACACGCAAAGCCTATGCTGGGGGGGCTCATTGTTGTGTAACACGACAACGAGCCCCACTGTTGCACTGGGAACACACACACTGGGCACCCAGTTTATTTCCACTCAATCCCACACACACCATCCTGCTGCTGTAAATATGTACTAGAGCACTAGAGTTAATCTGCACCTGAAAACAGTTTCCAACTAAGGCACTACTTCAGTCTACAGTGACCAGCTGTTCAAGGAAATCACTGAGCATTTAAAGTCACATACAAGTAAGGGAAGTCAGAGTATTGAGAGATGGAGTCACACATCATTGGTTTGGGTCTTTCTAATGGAGGTTTGTTGACAATGAGAAACAAAACAATTCCAGCCTTATCCTTTAAAGGGACAGTTTCGATTTTTTGAGGTGGGGTTGTATAAGGTACTTATAGTCAATAGTAGATGGCAGTTCACACGCCTCCAGTTTGGAGAAGCAGGCTGGAGTCCAACATGGAAGCTAGGCTCAGTACTGCTGTGGACAGGGTCAGCAATAAAATGTATTTTAGCCACCTAGAAAAGTCCCACCTAAATATATCAAAATCAGTTTAAGTGTACACTATATTGACAGTATTTTCATTGCTTCACCTTTTCATCAGACAGAGCTTTCCGTCAGGGAAGTGAAGTCATTATATCACTGTCTTCAAAGCCAGACTCCACTGAGAAAACAGCAGTAAAACAGTAATTAAATATTGCTTAACACAGGAGCTGCTGGTCTACCACTGCCTCAATCAGTTGGGTGTGTCTGTGTGTGTGTGTGTGTATTACTCTGTGACTTTGGCATTTAAAATGGTTAGTTGGATTCTCCAAAGTCTCACAATAACACAAACTTGCTAACTGATTGTGGCAGCTGGAGACCAGCAGCCCCTGTGGTCAGTGGGCCATAATTACTGTTTTTGCCAGTGAAGTCTGATGACTTGTGTAAGATGTGGAACCAAACAGTTTCCCTAATGGAATGGGCTGTCTGACAGAAAAGTAACGGGGTGAAAATTCTGTCAGTATATTGTATATTTAATCTGTTACAGATTTTTAGGTAGGACTTTTTTACATGACTAAAATATGTTTCATTGCTGACCCAGTCCACGGCAGTACATTGCTTAGCTTCCGTGTCAGACTCCAGCCTGCTTCTCCAAACTGGGGGCATGCCAACCGCCTTCCAATGTAGGTAATACAATAAATACCTCATACAAGCCCACTTACAAAAATTTGAACAGTCACTTTAAGTTTCACTTTTCAGACCAGACAGACAACATCTCAAAGCAAATGTGACAATTCCTTGCAATTTCTACATTTGAACATTTTCAGAAAAAAAAGTGAGATAAGAGGGTGTAAATTTGTGAGCAAAGATAATGCCAGAATGAACCAACACTTTCTACCTTCAAAATGAAAAAGTGATTTAACTTGGATGACGGTTGCTTTGCAGGGGGAATGTGAATGGAGGGCGACCATATGAATATGAAGGGGCAGTCTGCTCTAAATGCAAAGGCACCTGTGTTGAGAATCTCTGCCGTGAGTCTACTTTTTGTTCATGCAAAAAATAGAGCTTCTCCATGTTGTAAGCATTGCTACTGACACTGACTTTAATAGACTACTTGAAAACCTGAGAAATAAATGTAAACATTTAACCCTAAAAACATTCAATAAGCATTTCAACCATTTCTGTCTTAATGTCTTAACAGGTAGCCAAGAACGAGATTCACAGAAAAGTAGGTGATGGCATATGAACTGGAAAAATACAGTTTGAAGCAGAGATGCAATCCAGCTGGGTTTAAAATAACCCACGTTGGTTCGAAAGTACTGCTGTTTAAAACATAGTGTTAGTGAATAAAGTTCTAACACATAGTATAGAATAAATCACACTTAAAGCTGTGGTAGCTGCAAAAACTGAAACCACTCTGTCTGACTTAATCTGTGTTTCCAGGTTACAACTGGACCCCAGACTGGGACCCTGCCCTGGCTACCGGTGGCTCCAACTATGTGACTGTTTTGGTTGTCCGACCTATTGCCCTAATCTTCACCTTCATCACAGCATATGCAGTCCACCACTTTTATCCCGATGTCTTCTGCTATGAATAGACCACTGTGGTGACCTGACAGATATGGATTAATTCAGCCAATGCTGAAATGAAGAGGCAAGTTTAATTAAACCTGTCTATAGACAGCTTTTATGCACCATCAGAGCTGTAGATAAACTGTCAAAAAGCACATGTATTTTACCCTCTAACTTCTTTATATGTGTGTGTGT